GTATTTAGTTTATGACAAACAGTGGTGGTGCTAGGACTTCACAGCATTGCGTTGAGAATACTAAAGAATATTCATTCTTTTTGGATGAGCCATGAATTTGCAGTATTGATGGATGGCAGCCTTCCTTTATTTGCTTGCCTCAAACATTTGTATAAGCATTTTTATTTTGTTTTCACGAGTATCCATGGAAGCAGCGCATGCGCGTGCTGCAGTTCCCATGTTTGTGCGCATTCATCCAAGCCAGAAGACTCGCAAATAATTGTGCAAATGTGCATTTGTGCAAGTTTTCAAGTCATAAATGATTTACCCGATCCTTCCTCCCAATTAGAAATGTTCCAGCCACCCAGTCAGGAAGGGCACATGGTTCCACGTGAATTAAATAACCCATTGCACCGCTTGAAAAGTAAATGGCAAACAGGGAATACTGAAAGCAGTAGACACAATGGGTTCAAAGACATTCATATGCTGAAGTGTTTAATAAAATACTCTTTGAATGAATTTAAATTACAAGTACATTACTTGATTTCATATCTTGATGTCACAGGGCCTGTAGAGCTCTCTATTGTGAGCCATCCTATTAACTTCAGCACGATTGTCCACCAAGATAAGCGGTTTCAGTGGATAAAGCGGTATTTTTAAAATCTTTCTTTTTTAACTCTAGGCAAATATTTTAACAGCAGATCCTCCTTGTGACTAAGACTGTGCAAGGCTTACATAGTTGTGCTGCCCAAGTACCATAGGAATAGGGGCTGCTGGAAAATTATGGTGGCTTAATCTCTCTTTCTCGGGTTAGCTTGACCACAAAAGGATTTATTTGTAAGACACAGCATTTGCTGTGTTTGCAAGACTCTGGTCTTCACCATCTTGACAGGGACCCACAGCTTGTGACAACCACTGTAGCTCGCGTGTGGACACAGGACATCGCAGCAGTCCCTTGAAATGGGGCTGATTTGCTCTTATTATTAATTTGTGGGTTGGGGTGCAGATTTCAGGTGTGGCCAGGATGGCTGGATGGGGGCTTCGTCAGAAACGTCTTACTCCAGTGATAGTTTAACTTTAGCTGTCAAAACTGCAGTAATTGGAGATGCCGTGGCCCTGGAAAACCAAAAACCAGCTTTGCCAGGGAGCCCCCGAGCCATTTTACTGCAGAGGCTCAGTCGAATAGCATCCGCTTCTGCTATACGCACATTCATACCAAGAATTATTTGAAACAGTTTCCTACCTAAGGCAATTACCTTGGATATAGGTTTTAAAAATCCATGCAGAAATACTGCTATTTTTTAAAATCCACTCAATGAGCCTCCTACCTCCACCTTTGACAAACACGCTGAAAGAACAAAATTGGGATTATACAGGCAAGAGTTTGACTGACGTATCATTAACGCTACTTCTGGAGTGACTAAGCTCCATAGTAGTATCGACTACTAGTACTGAAACATGATTTCATCCCCAAGACAACTGCAGCTCCAAACAAAGATAATATGCTGGATCCCTAAACTGTATCACTCCAGTTATCATTACGATGTTAATTTGTTGTAAAATGTTGTCCCGAAGAAGAAAAACAGGAAAACATTGAGGAACACCTAATAATTTGGTTAGAAGGTTATTCTTTTCCATCCTGTTTCAGCAATTTTGTTTGAAATCTTGGAATTTGGGATACTGAACAGGTGACTGCTCAAAATCCAGCATACAGGTTGTTTTATGGATACAGTTGAGAAACATTTTAATGGAAAATTTCAGTTGACCTGAAATTGACTCCGCAAAATGCTTTATTCATGTCAAAAGCAATTTGAGAGGCTGTTCAAGGTATTTTCAGCTTTTGCACATTTGCATCTTAGATTTGTCTTTTTGAGATGAGTGAAATGGTGCTTAAGATCATTAAAATAAATTAAATAGGTTTTTATAATTATTACTCCAAAACACAGAAAGAGTTCTAAAAATAGATTTGAAGCCAGACCATTTAATCACATATAAAAATCTATAACTGAAATTACTTTGTTGTTGTGTATCTCCTCAGAGTTGCAACTATTATGTTGATTTTACTAAAAGACCCATCCACTCCGAATGAGTGATGCTCTGAAACAATCAAGGGGGTGTTGCTTTAAAGCAGCTTCTGGAAATGGTTTTATTATTTTATGAAACAAAGGAACCTTTCCATGTCGAAATCAAAGTCCCATGGTATGGTTTAAAACATGAATAATTTAATTTATCTATAGATTTTATCTCACAAAGACAGAACATACTGAAAATGTAGGAGAGAATGTAGTCTCTGTTCCTCATATCTGTGAACAGATGACAGTTTTCTCAAATTGTCCATTCTTAGCACATATTTGACAACTTTAAATTTTGTAACTTTGTAATTCGAATTATAGGCATTTGAATTTTGAGCAGAAAAGCTCAATTGCCGTTGGATAGATGGGTCACATGAAATGCTTTTTTTGTCCCCTGAATTGATGAGGATTCAAGGTTCACTTGCACACAACTGCTGGGTGCAATTTTTCAGCAAATACCCTTGCAAATAAAACGTGCTCAGGAAGGCAGAGGCACTGCCCCAGTGATGCAATGAGACCGGCGATCCGCCAGCGTTACTGGGCACTGTTTGCAATGCTGCCCATTTCTCATGACTTCACTGATTTCTTTTTTTTTTTTAACAAAGTTCTTACTTAAGCCCAGGTTAAATCAAGGGGAAAATTCCACCAGTTTCAGTCAAAGCTGCACTTCATTTCTATGAATGAGATTCCTGGAAGACCATGCAGAAATCCTGACTTCGGGAAACTCAGGGATTTCTTCTGGAGACGACAGGCCCAGTCTAGCAGAGCATGCTCAGCAACTCCCGCAAGATGCCAACAAACTTATTTGCCATGGAAAACGGAGACTGAAGACACTGCAACAAGCTCAGCGAAGATCACAAGATTCGCTTCAAGTGGAGGATGCTCAGCATCTCAGGGAAACTCAGGAGCTCTCAGGCGCAAGCCCTCATTTTCCAGGTGTCATAAAAGCCCATACCGAGAGTTAGATCTCCTTCAGGAGTTATAAAGCCAAGCATTATTAGTACCCATAAACCTTCACATTTCAGTAATTCTTTTTCTCTTTATTGTCTAAAAATATTTTCTTGTCCTACAGCTATTCTATGTATGTATACTATTACTAGGTAGCAAATCCGGTGTTTTAAGAGAAAAATGGTGTTACACTGTAGCCTTGAACTGTTAGCAAAAGGAGAAGATGAGAACAGACATGAGGATGAGGTGCTCCTACCACGCCACAGCCTTTTTTGGGGAGAAAAAACCCTCTGAATACAGCTGCTAGGCTCTGAACTATAGCTGGGCTCGTCTGGGCTGAGCTGTCTGTCAGAATAAACCAGGAAACCAGGTTTGTAAAGTTCATGTGTGCTAAGTTGTGCTGATGGAATTAGGTGCACTGAAGCCGATATGCCAAGTGCATTACTGTCGGAAGAAAGACTCCAGCGTACCCCCACGAGCCACAGAGCAGCTCAGCAAAAGTCAACAGCTTTCCTCTATACGCTCTCCCTTTTATCCAGCGTCACGGAGGCTCTGTTAGCTATCCGCATGGTGGGAATGGACCCAGCAGGTGAGGGGGTTCAGAGCCACCGTGGCCCTGGCCCCCACTGCCAGCGCCCGCCCGCGGCGTGTGTCCCTTTCCTGGGGACGTGCTGATTTCCCACGGTCAGAGCTCCGCGTGCTCGGCTGACAGATATTGTTTCCCATCTGGGCTTTCCGATCTGCTATGCCAAATCCTCTAAACACCCATGTGTTTCTTTGTCCCGGTAGTTACCCGCCGCGCCTTCTCTACAACTCCATTTTCAGAGAGGGAGCCACATGTTTGGCCTCTGCGGGGAACGGGGTGTCCTGCTACCCATCCCAGCCACTAAAACATGTATCTTTTTATTTCTTAATATTATTCAGCCTGACCCTTGGGCTGTATTAAGTAACCCCGAGTCCACACTGAAGCACTTGAACGGTAGCAACAACATCTTCAGCCAGGTTCCCGGTGTCTGTCTGAGGGTAGGCAGGGAGGAACTTGGGTTTCTGCTGTCCTGCCTGAGAGCTGCGCCTGAGCCCCAAAGCCCCTGAGGCCAAAGCCCCGGGGAGGGGGGGCCAGCCCTCAAGGCTGGAGGACTCAGATGCACCCCGAAAAGCCCCAAACCCCCCAGGAGCCCCCCAAAGCCCTGAAGCCCCGGGGACCCCCAGCCCCGGGGGGGGG